TTTGTCCGTTGTGACACGGGGGCCCCTTAAGAGGTGGTGTGCTCTAAAACGCCAAGACTCCCCCGCCCACCGTGTGGGGCGAGGGAATGTTGGGGGTTGAAGTCCACTCATCTTAAAGTGGCCAAGTTGGACAACACTGACTTATAGCAAAATACAAAGGAATCCTGCCAGCTGGGAGTTAAGGGCAGAATTATCAGCGTGAGCATTATCTACTGAAATTACGCTTTCATTCATATTGTGGTAAATTGATATTTCCAATGACTGCTGGCCTAAACAGTTTGCAGAGGAAGGGTGTAGTTATATAACACCTATTTAGCCTGTTGAACATTAATGACATTTTCTGAAACAGAAAATCCAACCCAACCCTCAACCCTGAGCTTTGGAATATTCTCCCAGAAAAACATATCCAGCACCCGCTCCATTTTCTTTTTGTTACCACACATCACTCTGCTTTTTAAAATCCCAGTATGTTTAATTTTTTTGTACTTTGCTACAATAATCTTATTATTTATGTGATTTATATCCTTTTCCCATCAAAATAGGCTGATAAAATGCTCCCAAAACAAAGGTTGCATAAAATACTCCCACAGACAAACAAAAAGCAATGAGTTTAAACTGGCCTGATTAAAACTTAATAAAAAATACAGCCAAACCCAAGAAACATTCCTTAAAACCAGTTCAAAATGTGCGACTTAATTAGTTTTATCTCTGCTGTTTTTCATTTGTGATGTTTCTAGCAGATACTTAAATTTATTGCTTTATTTTGCTCTTGTATTTATTTTTCATTGTATTCTTATTGCAAGCTCCCTGACAGCTGCTATTAGAAAAGCAACTAATACATTTTGAGTAGAATGAATTAAATCAAGGGCATTTACATGCGCCTGTTTTACAGGACCCATTTATTCCCTCCTCCTTTCCAACACCATAGTTTTCTGAGTTTCAGAACCAATACAATGGCTTTCCAGTTTGCGTGAAGGAGGGTCATAAGCATTACCACCGTATCACAGATTGTCTTCACGGTGACCCACCAGAGGACTTCTGACTGGAAAGACCTATTCACTGCATGATCCTATGGTAGCAAAGATTCTGGGTTATTACATTTCTGCCAAAATGCAAAGGATGGAAGTCCCCTTACTCCTTTTCCTTGATACGCAAACACAGCCAGCCATGCTGATCCACTGAAGAGCAACCATCTATCTATCACAGTAAGGCAACACCTTTTAAAACTTGTCTTTACACCAACTGAAGTGTCACCAATTAATGATACATTAATTGAAGAATGATTCTTCATCAGACAATATATTAAAGCCATTTGGACTGAAGGAGAGGCAGAGAGAAGAGAAAAACGTAGGAGTGAAACAGCTTTCAAGATTACAGCTTCTAACAATCTGGAGCTGGAATGTAGAGCTTCACAGATGTAGCTTCATGGGGGGAAGAAAGACAAAAGACAGATGTTCTGCTACTCTTGAGAATATAACATGTAGTTCTATTTCAACCACATTATGTCTGCATTTAGCTTAAAGTGATAATAAATGTCAAGCCTGAGGAACAAATGGTCTACTTCTAACTGTCCTTCCATTGCCACTTAAATGAAGGTCTATGAAGAACCCTTAAGCTTAAAAAATCATTCATGGACAAATGGGCTGATTTAATACACAGATACAAGTGTGTGTGAAATGTCTGAGCAGCTTCACATCATTGAGAGTGCTGCCTTATCAATATCTTACTTGTTCCATATTAGCAGCCACTGCTTTGGACACAGTCTCCCATGACCCCAATATGTTGGCCCAAGCTATTCCCTTTTCCCAGCTCTGGAGCCCATAACAGCTCCACTGGGCATGGCTCTACTGCCAAAACTGCCTAGCTGAGTGCCTGTCAATACAGCTGAACAGAAATCTTCAGCCTTCTGATCTCCCTACTGAAATCATCCCCAATTTACACACATGCATGTGCAAGATCTCTCACAAACACCCCCTCCCTCTCAATGGATCTCTTTGAAAAGATCATTAAATATGACTTCAGCACTTCTCAAATGCTTAAAATCATTAACATATTGACATAAAGTATTACTAGATTTTTCCTACCCTTGCTTTCAAATGATTCATATTTTGTTGTTAAAGCTTTGAATTCAGTGACTGCACCTGTTCAAAATTGATTCTTGGCATCCTAATCAAAGAGCACAATACTATCATCCCAGATTGCTGGAATGGGTTAGTTTGTGCATGAGCTAGGAATTCAGGTTGTATTATCAACTTCTCCACTGATGGACTCCTCGACCAGACTTGTCCGACAGCGAAGATGGAAAGGGTTGCCCAACTTTGTGCAACGTGCCAACAGCATGGAAAAATCTGAAATGGATTCACATATATTCAGCAACTCCAAACAAATTAGTCGTGCAGAATCATGGTAGTTTCTTCACATTAAGAAACATAAGGGGCAGTTGCTGTGTTTGCTTGTAATGGAAAGCCAAGGTCTTCAAAATTGTGACTTATCACTAGTTAGCATGCCTGAGATACAAATCAGGTAACTCCATCTAGGCTTGGTTACTACATTGCACAAACTAGAAATTCTGGCTTGTTTCTCTCCAAGACAGAAGCCAAGAACAAACTGTGGAGCTCTGGCTTCTATGAAAGGGCAAACAAACTACTGATGGATCTGTCTGGGTTAGTCAGCTGTGCCCACTGGGAACAGAGCAGTGTGTATCCAAACAGTTCTTTGGAAGCAAGTCAAAATTTGGAAGATATCTGGTTTACTGATCCATGGAAACACAGTTATTATATGCAAAACATGGATTGCTCCACTACCACCCACTTGAATGTAACACTTATTTTGTTTTACTATAGTTACCTTTTTAATCTTATTTTTGTTACAAGTTATGAAGAATCACAATACGGACTGTTACCTTTTCCTGTAAATGATGGAGTTTTTGAAGCTGATTAGCCTCAGTAAGACTACAATTATTACACTGATTTGTGCTCAAAGAAGCCTACACAGATATAAAAATAAGTTGCATGCTAGCCTGGCACATTTGCATAGCTAATCGAAGACCACATTTCTACAAAGACGTAGCTTTCAACGTATACAAACAGAGGAAAACTGAGCATGAACAGGAAATTGGTCAAAACCATCGGAACCCTTACCTGAAGATTTTGCTAAAATGAAACATCCAATTCAAAGCTCAGAATAACTATACAACTGAAAACTAAGGGTAGGAGGACTGGCTGATTTGTTTCATTTCAACCGTAGCTCTTCGTGCCTCAACTATGAGAAGTGCATGTTTTTCCATGACCATCAGGGCTCCAACACGGTACAATCTCCTCCTACCCACCTTCTATGGTTGGTTAATACTACTATTTATGGATTGCGCTATCCAGGTTCTCACTGTTTCTCTCCCAAATACAAATTGAGGAGGGCAGCACAAAACTGAGATGAACTCTGAAAAGCTTCCACACAAAATCCAACAGAATAGGAGGAACTGCAAAGTTCCCATCCATCTTGCTTAAAGCTGTTGTTTTCTAAAACAAATTAACAGCAGGACTAAATACTATTAAAAGCAAATTTATATCAATACGTACACTAGATCACACCTGGAATTTCATCCACTTTACTGAAAAGTGGGGTCTGTTTATTTACTAGATTTATACTACCTTTATTTTGCACAACTCAAGGTAGTGGATTTAATATTCCTTCCTCCTATTTTCCCCCAGAACAACAAATCAATGAGGCGGGTTGGGCTTAGAGACCCTAGCCCAAGATCACCCAGTTGGCTTCTCTGCCTATGGGAGCATTAGAAGGTACAATCTCCTGCTTTCTAGTCCAGCATCTTAACCACTACACTACTGGCTCTCCAGGTGGTGGTGGTGGAGGAACATATAGCATCCCGATCTACCACATTTTATAACTACATTCACTTTCTAGAAAGTCAAAGACAATGGCAAACAGTCCAGTTCCTGGACGGTTGGCAGACCTGCCCAAGTAAAACACAACAAAACCTCACGTGACATGGTAGAGCTTATTGTTGACTCCATCATGGCTGAAATAATTGATATGGTTTATTGGGTTGAACTCTTTGTTTAATATTTCTAACCCATCACATTACAGAAGCATTCAAAATAAATAAGGGAGCTGGAATATTAGGGCATTACTGCTTAACTAGGTTGCAGGCCTGAAAAATGGTAACGATGTGGTGGCTTGAACTATGTGGCAGACAGACTGCTGAAGTTTTCGTTTTCTTTCCTCTTTAACATATTGCCAGTTTGCATTATAAATACAAGGTTTGCTGTGGCAATTGTGAATAGGCCCAGGATTCCAATAAATGGATTTTTGGTGGATTTCAGTGCCTCTGAGCATTTTTAGAAGTGGGAAAATCAAGCAGAGAGGAGAATCTACAGCGGATAGTGAAAGAAGCTGTAAATGTGCCCCACTGTTATTTAAATATTTAGATATAAGAATCTGGGTGAAACAGTGACCTTAACAATCTCTTTACTTGGAAATGCCATGGTGATTTCAGTAGTCCCAACTTCCAGGTTAGTGTGTCAAGGACTGTAGTCTGTCTAAAGGAGTGTTTCTCAATCTCAGCAACTTGAAGACGTGTGGAGTGCAATTCCCAGAATTCCGCAGCCAGCATGGCTGGCTGGGAATTCTGGAAGCTGAAGTCCACACATCTGAAAACTGCCAAGGTTGAGAAACACTGCATTAACTACTATACTACCCTGGCCCTGAATTGGGACTGCAATTCCCAGAATATACAGCCTATTATATTTCCAGTTAAGAATTCTGGTAGTTGAAGTCAAGCACATTTGGCCAAGGCTAAGCTATACAACAAGGGATATATAAAATAAATGTTCTTAAGGATCGTTCAAATCACCACTTTTCTACAAGTACAGAGAAAATAGAGAGGTAGAGAGGTATTACATGTTCCTAGCCCAGAATAGCTCTCTGAATTTGTCTGTCATTCAGTGATTGTGCCCACTGGCTATTTTCCACACGCAACTTAGGTTTGATAAAGCATATAGATCAAGGTTTGGCAACCTTTAGTGGGTTGATAAAAAAAAAAAAAAAATAATTAAAAACTCGGCAGAAATATTGCAAGATCTCAGGTGATTTTTCACCACCTCACCTTGGAGTTCTCAGGAGATTTTGGTATTCTTCTCCAACATTTCTTGAGATTTGACAATATGGCAAGTTTTCAGGTACTTAACGTTTTAACTTTTAAATTTAATTTGGGAGGTTCCACAGATAATATAACAGGATGTTGATGGTGTTTGGACATCCTGCAGGCCCTATTTTGCAATACAGATCCTGATATAGCTCCTAAGAAGCTAGAAAGACACACAACTCATTTTTTTCTCCTGGCTTAGTATGTGATTGAGGTTCTTTGCCAGTGATAAGAAACCAAAGGCGGAAAAATTTAGCTCAGGTGTCCGAAAGTGACTTACCAGGCCCTCATTATCTTCTGAGGTTCTCTGATAATGTGCTGCTAGGGCAATATAGTCCAATGCCTGTTTATTACATTCAAAACACTTTAATCCATAACGAATAAGTCTCAATGGGTCTGTATACAGAGGCAGCGCCGGCTGGGCATTTGTCATGCTCCCCGTCCCACTTCCTGATCCAGCACAGGACTTATGTGACAGAGAGGACAACCGTGTGGTCGGTGGACTTGAAGACGTTGAAGAGCTTGTGGGAGACGGCGAAAACATTTGGTCTACAGAAATGGGTTTCATGAAGAGCTGTGAACACTGCATGATGAAGCCTTTGCTCTTGTGATCCCTCGCGTGTTTGAGCAAGCTACACTTGTTAAAGAAAAGCAGCATTGCTGAACACTGAGTACACATGACTTCAATGTGGACACTTCTCCGGCTATAATGTTGAGTGAGGCTTTTTTCTAAGGCAAACGAATCACCACATTCCAGGCAACAATACCCAGAGGCAGGAACATGAATACTGCTGTCAAGGGGAGGGCTGAGGTTGGGTGTATATATTGGCACTGGATTGGCACCATGCAACACTTTGTTAAATGCCTCAACAAGTGGGGCGGCCTTCTTGACCTGCTGCACGAGTGGCACGGTCACCTGTGTCAGCTGGGGCTGACTGCGCCGTTGCACAGATGACCTGGCAGCCACCGAAGCTGCAACGCTGTGGGGGACCAGGTTGAGGTTGGCCAGGTGCACGGCTTTCGGGAGGAGGCTGGCTGGGTTGCAGAGCTGGGCCACGATGCCTGGCTGCTGCTTTTTGCTCAGCTGCTGTCCTGCAACGCCTACTTTCATTGTCCCGCTGCTGCTGTTGGCCAAGAGCGACGCACTGGGGGTGCTGTTTATGGGAATGTCTGCAATCAAAGTGTTCACTTGGGGGCTTAACAAGTTTGCTTCTGGGGCGGCAGCTTTTGCAAAATCCTTGCATGGCTCAGCTTCCAGGGAAGAGGCCGCTTCTGGAGAAGGGAACGGTTTGACAAACTCTTCGGCCACTGAGCCATCTGCAGGTGATTCTTGAGGAGATTTGCCCAAGTCGTCTGCCTCAGGCAAGATCCTCGTGACCATTCTTTTAATTTCACCAGAAGAGGTTTTAATGGTCTTGATCCGCACTTTGGGAATTGCTGGAGGGGAGCCAGTTGCCACTGAAGGAGAGCCTTTGCCGCTGCTGTCGCTGCACACACTCCGGGGAGATTCAGGCTGCTTGCTGGCCTTTCTCACCATTTCAAGGGGGCTTCTGGGGCTCTTTGGTGACTTTGGCATTTTGGGGCTTCCCTTAATGCCATCCTTAAAGGAGCCAGGGGGCTCTCTCGTCACATTTGCCTGATCCTCCTTGGAGATGCCTGCAACCTTCTTGGCCTGGAGGGCTACAAGGGCAGCGACACAAGAGGAAAGTTTGGAGTGAGTGGGCTTGAGACGCTGGCGGGGTGGGACTGATGAAGAAAAGTTCATCTCAGGCACAGAACCTTTAGTTTCCCCCACGTTATTGCCATGGAAGTTGCCAAGGGGCAACCCTTCACCAAAGGTACTGTGTGTGTCCATAAGATCTTTGCCAGACCCGTCACATTTCTCTGGGCTCTTGTCACGCTCCCTCTTGCTGGTGACCTCTGCCCTGTTCTCTTGAAGCCCATGCATTTCTATCTTTGGATCTCTTTTACAATATTGATCAAACATACTCAGCTCTGGTTCTGGCAGTTTCTTACTTAAGAGATCTAGCAGCGATGGACCAGTTGACATAAACCTACTAAACTCTGGCTCTGGCAGAGTCCTACTGAGCAAATCTAACACAGACGACCCCGATGGAATATACATGGGATGGGGTGGGAAATAAGGAGTTTGGGCATGTTTAGGTTTGTCTACAATACTGTTTTCTTTGAGCACATCCTCTGGCTCCGGGCTGGAGATTGGACTGAACTGACTAAAAGTTGGTAAAGGCTCCGACTTTGCCTGTTCCAACTTCTCTGGATAGTTCCTCAAGCCATCTCCATTGATGAAAGATGAATCAAATTTCCCATAGCTGTGGGTCTCCAGGGGCAGATCTGAGCCACGGAATCCATTGTGCAACAGGCCCGGTCCAAGGTGGTTACCGTCCTTTTCTGCCTCGAACGACTCCTGACGACAGGTGTTCTTCACAATGACGCTCACAACTGGAACATCAGAAGCTGGGGCAGCATGGGACAAAGATGTATTTTCCTCTATGCCAATCCCTGTCTGCTTGAGATGGCTGTCATTCTCCTCACCGGCTGTCTGAATGGCTTCCTTGGCATCAAGGCTGGTTGGGTCAGGAATGTCGAAAGCAGCCAGCAGGTCATCAAAGTCTGGAGTTTTCATGTCCCCCATGGTGAAAACTACAAATCAAAAACAGTTTGTCAGAAGCATCACTGAGAATGTACATTTTCTAAAAACATAGCATTGTAGGGTTGAAAGAGACCCAGGAAGACACAAGTTCTAACAAGCGATACTAGGAAGACAAGTCAAGGGCTGCGTTACCAGCTCTCATCATTTAGCAAAGACGTTCCCTACCTGATACCCTCCAGATATGCCAGCTTTCAATCCCTATTACTTCTAGCTGGCAAGGTTACTGGCATCAAAGTCCTGGTTTAGGAAGGCTGCTCCTACACTTTAGTTTGTCCTCAGGGAAACTAACTGCCTATATCTTGTAGCTGGAGAATGAAGATGATAAAGTGCCAACTGTTAACTAATTCACACATCATGCAGGACTATAATGTAGTTTATCTGTTTTTGATTAGCATGTAGATTAAAACCTGCTTCATCAGAGGCACCAAATTCCAGTCTACCAAAGCTTGAACTCTGCCACAATAAATAATTTTAGCCCTTAGAGTGATTTTTGCTTTTTTTCTGCTGTTCCAAACAGTCATCATATCATTCTCCAGCCTGAGGCCCTCCAGAAGCATTGGGACAGCAATTCCCAAATTCCAGAGTCAGAATTCAGCCATGCTGGTTAGGAACTCTGGAATCTTCAGTCCCAACATACCTAGAAGATGCCATGCATGTTCCGGTAGTCTGCTGTCCATTTAACCCTCTTTGTACCATGCAAGACAGTTTCCCTGAAAGGGAAAAGAGGAACCCATTCCCTTTTCCTCTCACATTTATCTTATTTTTCTTTTCCACACTGAAACTGACACAGTGGGAGAAGCATCTGGGAAGGATGGGAAATAAGTAAGGTGACTTCTCCCCCATTCCCAGGCACATTCCTGAAGCATCTCTTTTTCAATGCAAAAATAAACATTACTAGAAGATGCCTTCAGTAGAGACTGATGCTGAAGCTTTCCACAGAAGCTAGACTGCTGCATTTCATTTTAGCTCCCTTCCCCCATTATAACAGACATCTTTCCTCCTTGCAGCCTTCAAGTTTCATCTTTCCCCTTTCCTATCATTATCCTGTATTGCTGTTCTGCTGTTCCTTGTTTGCTGCTGATGTTGTCAGCATGACTTTTGTTGCCAGTTTGGGCCAAGCCAAGGAGTGAAGAAATCAAAGTGTGCTGTGTACACTGACTATCAGCAGTTGGTCCACAGCTACAGGGGAAGCCCAGCCAAAATCTGCATCACAGCAATTCCCCCTTCACTGCCAGAGGGCTGTGAAACAATTGGCACACTTTATCTCATTCTTCTCCATGTTGCACACACAGGGCTTGTCGAAGCCTAAAGAAAAAAAAATCTTCTGCCCTGGATGGTACAAAGGTCCTGAAGAGCCAGTCTCTGTGACCTTCCCCCTGGAACGGTCAACTGGGACAGCACAGGAACAAGGAAGTCTTCCATTTTCTTGTTGCAAACTCACAAGCCACTGGAACTGAATGCTTAGGGTTTAACTTCATGCCATGCTTGCAACGCAATCGATAAACAACCTTGCTGGATTTTAAAAATTAAAAAAAACTGCAGCCAGGGGAGGGAGGAAACATCCTCAGCACTCCACCTAAAGGAGAGAGAGCTTTAAACTTTCACTTTCCAATTGCAATTTCATTATCGCCACTCCCCAGTGTGACTAACTCCCATGGGGGTCAAACCGAGGCCTTTTCTCCAATGCAAACAGATGAGGAGGGAAGGCTTAAACTGGAGCACCCTGCAGGCCACAGGGCCAGTGACCCACTGCTCCCATCCTTCTGCATCTGGCTTTTTTTTTAAAAAAAAAAAAATCCTACGATTGCTAATCTTGTCATTAACATCAGATGTAATGCAGCTTTTATGCTAATATCAGAAAGGCTGCAGAAGTCAGCATCCTGTCTTCCCCTTTCTTGACAACCCAGTCAATTCAAAGGCTGACAAGACTCTGCCTAATGCAGTTTCAAAGGCATCACCTTAACATTCCAAGTCCACCCAAACTTAACTGTTTTTATTTCACTGATCCCAGTGGCAATTACTGTATTTCTGAATAGATACATCTACAACTGGACCGCTGCCCACTCCTATATATCCTCCAATTTTATCCTAAGTTCTGAAATTGGGGGGAAAAAATAAATGCGTCTATAATGTCAGTGTGGCCACAGTGCTAGTCCCACACTTCCACTAAGCCGTAATTATGATGCAGTCCATTTGATTTTAGCTTAGCATGTTGTGTCAACCCAGATATACAGTAGTAGTTTTCTTCAATGAACCATGTTTAAAACAAACCACAGCTCAACGTGATGCATAAACTGGAGTCAGACAAGAACTGTTCTCTGAACTTTCAGATAGATGAAAGCAACTTGCCTGGAGATGCTATAGGCTAAGCTGGGGCTTTCTGCAGACAAAGCAACTGCCCTACCAATCAATTCCAGCTCATCCTCAACTGGCTTGTTATATTTGCTCTACCAGAAGAGCATTCTCATAACCCCATAGTTACTCTAGTTTCCCATCTACCAAATGCTAAATAACCTCATGAAATCAATACAAAATTGAACAGAGTTATGGATTGTACAATACTATTGTAAGCAAGCAAGCAAGCACACAACCAACTTCTATGGCCCAACAAGAGGAGACACAAATTCCTCCCCCAGCAAAGTCCCACAAAAAAATGAATGTTACAATTTCATTGATGCGTTCATGTCAGATAACCTGGTGCAATGATTTAAAATCTCCCGCAGACTTGTGAAATTCTATTCACGTGTGAAACTGTCTGCTTTTAGAGAATATTAATGTTAAGACGAACAACAGCAGGGATTTGATACTTTCAGTATAGATGGAAGAAAAACACCAAGCTGCAAATGATGCAGAAACATTACAGTGTTTCCTAATAAACACTGGTCATCTTCACTTTCTGGCTGTATTCACATAAAGCTAAGCCTGGTTTTATAAGCATAATTTGATGAACAGGCCATAATGGGCTGCACATTACACACTAATCCATAATGAGTAATTTCAACGTCAAGCCAAAAACAAACAAACCACATTATAGCTCTCTGTTTGTGTGAACCCAGGCATTCTCATGGTTTGCCAATTTTTTCCCAACAATAGAAAGGTACAAAAATACAACAAAACTTAATCAGAAGCAGGCTGAAAACATGAAAAAGGATGCCCAGTGAAGGACTGCTTTGCTGGTAGAAAATATTTTATCAGCACAAATTTAAAAGGAACAGTTCAAGGATAAAATCATAAACAGGACAAACATTCCTTGTTCAAAGGCGCTTCTGATCTATTTTTAAAGTCGAATTCACAAGCAGCCAAGAGTATCCGAATGAGTCTCAATGAAGATATTTTCCTGGAATTTTTCCCTATCCTTTCCTATGACTGGGTTCAGATTGGTTTTGGTTTGTCATGACGTGTGAGCCAGCCCTTGTTTGTGAACCATGGTTTATTGCTTGCCATAATGTATGATTCAAGTCACTACAGCTTGTTCAATAAATCATTGCTTAGGGTGATATGTGAATTTGGTTAGCGTATTTTAGACAAAGGTCATTATGCTGCATGCAACGGGTCTATCTTCCTATGACAATCACATGAAGTCTGTGATACTGCCACCTTGCCAAAGTTAAACGCATCTGGGTTCAGTCCACAGATGAAGGTGGCTACCATCTACTTACCTGGGAATAAGGCCCAATGAACGTGTATAGAACTGCACTTCCAAATTGTGAACTATGGAGTACTGTCAATCAGTTCATGAGTTCCCAGTTCAAACCGCAGCTCAGTTACAGACAGTCTTAACAACCTCTAATAGCTCTCAGCCTCGTGTACATCCTCACCCTAATACTGGTATCACACATGCTGGGATAACACAGGGTAGCTATTTAAAATACTGAATAGACTTACAACAGCCCTATACTGTATGCAAGTGCTCTGAGTTCTTAAGAAAACTAATTCAACAGCTTTACCCATTAGGAAAATCCAGTACCATTTAAAATATTTCATTCTTAGCAAGTTTAATACCGGACTGCAAATATTCCTTAAAACCTAGCTGGCCTTTCTGCAGAAATATAAGAACTAGAGTAGATTTCAGTTTGAGGGAGTTTGGCATCCTCAAGACATTTTCTACTAGCTAACTGAAATGCTTGGCAGCATGTGAACTGAAGCCCCTTATGTAACACGTTTCCTCTATGGTGGGAGAAAAAGTCATGATATGGTGGTCTCTTATTCCTCTACTAAGCACACATAAATATTACAGACTGCAGCTCAAAAACTCCGTGCACTAGGTTAGGAGGAGTACTGAAGTATATTTGCATTTATGGCATGGTAGCAGGAAGAGAAACATTTAATAAAAGATGATTTTTGTCAGAAAGAAGCAGGCTGACAAGAACAAGCATAACATGGACAGCTCCCCTGGGGCATTCTGCATAGATCTGGAATTCTGGATTGAGCATGGCCCTCCTCGGCAAAGTCTAAGTTGCCCAGAGTCCGCTGGGAGTGGGGCGGCCTAGAAAAGCCATAAAATAAATATGTACCATCAGTACATCTCGGTGCGCGCCAAATGCGCAAACTCAAGAGCCCATCTGCAAACTGTACTTGATCTTCCGTAGGTGGCAGAATATTGAGGATGTTAAAAAACAAAAAAAAACGATGCTGATCGGACCGCGGCATTCAGGTTCCACAGTGGCCAACCGGATGGCGCAGGGAGTCTTATGAGACGGGAGCGTGGCAGGATAAGGTGCTGTGAGGGACATAGGGGTGCAAACGGGTCCCCAGGTTCAAAGATGGATTTCAGCAAGTGGGATCTGGGGACATACTGGGCACAACAGTGCCCAACGAAGCTAGTGGCCCCGGGATGAGGATGAGGATGATGACAACAGGAAGAACGCACCCTGGTGAGTCTGGCAGCTGCCACAAAAGTTGATGCTGGTCTTGCAGCGCCAGGCTGGCACAACCACCCTGGCTACATGTCTAAGCTACTCCGGGGGTCCTGCTGTCCAGAGCGGCTGCAGAGCTTTACCCCCCGCGGATGGACAGGCCACCCCGAGGGCGCCCGGCTCCCGAACGGGGCAGAGG